GCGCGTACGCGAGATTTTACGAGCCGAAAAACACGTGTACGATGCCGCAATTCGAGAACCCGAGGCGCCGCGACACCGTGGTAGTTTCGCCGTTTCCTGGACGCGAGGCTCGATTAATTCCGTTGAGAGCCGATAACTCGCTCGCTCAGTTTCACCCGAAGAAGGACGACGACGACGACGACGGCGGTTCGTTTTTTTCTCGGTCGACCACGAGGGTCCTTCGCGGAGTACGATTACTCGATTTTGCATAACGACCCGCGTCGTACGATAAAGAAAACGAATAGTAGGAATAACTGGGGAAAGGCACGGCCGACTCACGTGCGCCGCTCCGTACAGATTTCTTTGCTTTTCAAATAAATTTGTAATGCAAATCTTCTTAATTCTACTTGTCAGAACTGGCACGCTTGCCTACGTAATCTCGGCTATATATACATATTGCACGGGGGACTCCTCCGATGGAAGAGGGAACGAAAACTCGATTACCGCGTACCGAGAACGAGCCGGCGAGCTCCGATTGGCAAAATCGGAACGCGTACTCCTTATGCCAGATAAAAGGGGTAACGATAAGCAGGGCCGTGGTGCCCCGCGTCGGAGACGAGTGCTCCTCGAATTTCCGTCTCGGAGAATCGATAAATCGTGCTCCCCCTCCTCCCCCGCGTAAAAAATGCTCGGATCGTCTCCCGTTTCGATAAGAGAGACTTCCGATCGATTCCGGGGCTGCGACACGTCAAACCAGAAATTAGTCAGTTTTTTAACGACTGACGCGACGTCACCCGAAGGGGGAAGCGAAATAAATCATCCACTTATCTGGCTAATAAATATTTAGCTAATAGCCGGCTAGTTATTCTAGACACACCCCCTCCGGAGGAAGGTAACCCGATATTTATTATTCCCGTCCGGCGCCCCGAAATGTTCACAGCTGTACGATTATATTGTGACTCCACCCGGCACGGGAACGAAAGACACACGCGTCTGTCTCCACCCTCCCTATTTATGTTTGCCTTTTTACGAGCTGCAGGTAATTACTTAGCCCGGGTTATCTCCATAAAGAACGATATCAGTTTTCCCGACGTATTCTCTAAAATCCTTTTCTGCTTCCCAAACTGCGGGTCGCGACCCCCAAGAGGGAACGCCAAGCGTCGTCTCAAAGGTTCCAAGTTTTAATTATTTTTTTTTTTTACGAGCAATTTTATCGGTCCTCGTTACGTCCGCGTTGTCTCTCAAATACAAGACCATAATTGATACTCGTCGATCGCCTGATGACTCTCGTTCGATGTTCTCCAGCGTAATGAAAGAATTCCGGGAACGTTTTTATTTCCAAGATCGTAAAAAACTGAGAGCGAGAGTCCGTTTGGAAATTCGCGAGAAACGAATGGGTGTCGGGTGCTACCGGTATGCAAAACGCGAACACGAGGCCGGAGCAAAGCGCAGCGTTTTCTCGCGGCACGCATTCCGGGAAGGCGATCCTTGACGAGCGAGAGCCCCCGAAGACGAGCGGTTACCCGAGTCACATATCACCACGTGACGTCCTCAGAATTTCGCATCCGAGGAGCGCATTTAGATGCAGATACGGCCGCGGTTAAAAAGGCGAAAAAGCCGGGATGACCGACCGAGAGGAGAGGGTGGCGAGGGCGAAGAAACACGGAGAGCGAGAGCCAAGAGGTTCGAACAGAGGCGGACCGAGGAGGATGAAGACGAAGGAAACGCGAGATGAAACGGTCAGATAGAGGCTCGAGTGCCACGTGCGGAACGAAGCGGACCTTTTCGCCGACTCCAGACACCATCGCCAGGTTTCATCGACTTTGCCTTCTTCTTTTCATCTCCGTTATTCTTTGATGGACATCGGGGGCTCTTTGATCAAATAGATCGATTCCTTGTTATATAAATACTTTACAACGTCGTGTAACGACGTGACTCCTTCGTACGAGATGGCTGCAGCAGACGACACGGCTCGTCAATGAAAAGAGAGTACCGTATTAGATTTTTAAACCTCTTTTTTAGGGACGGACGAGCTGTTATCGCGACAAAGTAGGTACCGTTAGCAGTTCTCGTTTCGTTTTCAGGGAATCTCTGTAAAGTCAAACGAAACCGAAAACTCGGACGAAAATGTACCGCGCTGCATTTGAATATCCTTCACGTTGTTCCACGGTAAATGATTTAAATATTTCGTCAATCCTCCTCCTCGTCCTCCTCCGTTCGGTCCCGTCGAAACTTTATCTACGTGGAAATAAATCGCGTCGCGTATCTCTTTGTGAGCTATCGAGGGCTTTTTTCCCGATGTTCCGATGTAGATTGGATCGGTATACACGCCGAGCGGCATACCTTCGATAATTTACATCTAACGAGGGGCGCAGAGTATAAAGTACACGGCTGTGTGTTTCCCAAAATTGTCCCGTCATTGTTTATTGGACTTTCTAAACAGTTCCCGGGTCCTCTCCTACGCGACGGGTATTACACGACACCGGGAACTGGTCGAACAGAGCGTAGAGCGACGATAAATTTCCGAAGATCCGAGATCTACCTGAACCAAACTCCTCGAGTATCGACAGACTCGATCCCGTTAAGGGTCAAACGTGATACATGGCGTGTAATAACAGATAAATGAGCCGCGCTAAGTTTCAATGTCGAAAGATACGCTACTGCACGGTGCAACGAACGATATGAAACGGTGTCGCGATTAAAAACTCTTTGCCAGGGATTCGAGTTGACGACCGACGCCGAGGAGATGCTGGTTTAAAGTGCCGTGTTTGCTGGCAAATACGCGGCCTTGCACCCTCCTAATCACTTTTCCTTCCGGAATCGGGATCCCCGCGAATAACAAGTATACGGGCAATGTTGGGGGTTATTAATATACAGGACCGTGGGGCGAAACAGCGTCAGAACAAACAAGCCAAACAGAATTAGCTCGGAGTATTTGAACAACCCGATGGGGAGTGGGAGAAGGGTTGGCGTGCGTGGCGAAGCGAGACGTCGCTTTGATGGCGTTACTGGTGAGCCTCGAAACTCGTATAAAGGGATCCCGAAGATACACTCTCCTCTCTATCTCTCTTACCACTAATCTCGCCTGCAGGACCTCGTAAAGAGCTTCCTACCCTCGGTTCTCCTCGAGAGATCCAGGCTTTAAACAGCGTCGGAAACAAAAAACGAGGGTAAATCCTCGTTTGTATTAATTGAAAATGCTTCAGTTTCCAGTCGCTCGATCACGACTCCGAGTCTTCCCGTCCTGAACGAAGACCTCCTTGTTAACCCTCTTTTTATCACCCAATTTACACGACGAACTATCGTTTCACGTTACGAGATACTCGGAACCGATCTCTATACCGATCGAGATATCATCCGTCAATTTTGTTCGGGGAAAGAGGGATATTTGAGAGTTCATATCGCGCATAATTAAAGAGGCATCCGGACGTATGACGTTCGGCCGAAGTCATGCGACCCAATCGCGATGAGCTAAGGCAGCAAAGAATTCGAGGGGTAGCCGTTCCGCTCCTCTATCACCGATGCCGTGACCGAGACTTCAAACAGCGTCGTATAGAAGCCGAACGAGGTGTAAACTACGAGCGGGTCCTCGAGTGGAGGAGCGAACGGTCCGAGCACATATTTGGACGTTCCACTTCCGTTTCTCGCTGGCCGAGCAATCGTAGACGGAGGAAGGAGGTGCAAAGTGAGGAGGACCCGTTTTCTTTTTTTTCGGCTCCGTTTCCAGGGAAAAAATCGGGCTTCCGTGCACGAGCCTACCGATACGAAGGGAAACGGAGGACGTTTAGCAGCTAGAAAAATCAACACCGCTCTCAAAGGACCTATTCAAACGGAGCGTTAGGCTGCTCGATTAGCGGCACGGCACTAACGATCACTGCGGAAAGGCCAACGGGGAAAAAAGTAGACGAGAACCAACGGCCGATATCCTTTCCCGTTCCAATTTCACCGTACCTTCCTCTTTCTTTTTTGTATCGGACGCGAAATAACGAGGTTGACCAATCGGTGCAATCCGTTCGACGATTATTAGCTCGTTCATGGGCTACAAAGTCCCGTCGTGTTTTCACTATCGATTATCGTCTTCCACTGGATTCCGATCCGGCGTCTGACGCACTCATGAAACAATTGAATATGCACGCAAACGCGAAGCTCGCACCTAACGCCGTTTCCTTACGTAAGAAGAAGCGCTTTGCTTCGCATAAAAAATCGCAGCCTATTTACGGTTCTAATGACCGTTGGAGGAGGTATCGAGTAAAGGGAGTACCGCGCGGTGTTAAGCGGTTCGGACAGTTTATCGCTTCGCATCGCGTGGAAGCGGGGGAGATATTTAGAGTCCCGACACCCACGTAGGATCACGAGAGGCGAGTTTGCCGGAGCGGAGTGAAATTTTCAACGGCGTTGGTTACGTACGCGAATGCATTATACGTACACGCGCGCAGTGCGTCCTACGACGTTTAAATAAACGCATCCTCTCTCTCTCTCTCGCTCTGTTCCTCCCTCTATCCGGCGGCCGTCTCTCTAATTTGTCCGTTCAAACAAAAAGCAATTTGTTACCCAGCAGACTGACTCTTGGTCCGGTGAGTACCGCGCGCGAGCGAGATGGAAAGCGAGATGAAAAGAGAGAAAAAAAGAGCGCGGACGCGCGCGCTCGACGGACGAAGAGAGGCGAACCCCGGTGAGAGAAAACGAGAGAGACGGATGCGAAGGAGGAGGTAGTGGCTGATTTAAACCTGTCTGGCGGCCCGCTGCGCGCTTAACAACTGAAAAACAAACATGGCGCCGAGAGAGCGCACCGGCCAGCGGGAGCCCACGTATGCCGCGCGCACCGAGAACATAAAGTGCTTCTGGTACCCCCGGAACCCGCTGTTTCTTCACCAATACCCATTTTGTCTCCGGCGGACACCGCGAGGATCCTAAAGATTCTTCTGACCGGCGAGAAGGTGTCCGTTCCTCGAGATCTCTTTCACGCGGCGACCGCGAGGTCGCGTTCGCCGAAATACAGAGGGTGAAACGATAAAACTTACCCCTGGGGTGTTAGCTTCCGCGCCGAACGGATACTTGGTCCACTCGAGCTTCTCCTCCTGCGTCGTGTCCAGGAGTACAACTGCAACCAGAAGAAAGGAAAACTTGGCGTGAAGCTGAATGGAGAATCGGCGAGATTTGCATGAGAAAGGGGTAACGGTATAATGGCGCGCACTGCATTTTACTCGTCAAAGTCCAATTACCGGTGTAAGTACGCGTCCGCGGGTAAAACGTGAGAACGCGACGGGGAACGGGAAACGGGGGAGAGACGTCGTCGTCGTCGTATCCTAATCGTCGTCGGTCAAGGCGATCTCCTTCGGCCGAGACGGAATACTCGTCGGTGTATCGAAACGCGCGCGAGAGCCCTAGCAAAGATTTTACCGTGAAAAGTCAACGTTTCGAGGGGGATGAGGGAAACGACTCCCTCTCAAAATGGCGGATCCTCGAGACCGTGCTAAAACACCTTGCTTCTCGGCGGCTCTCGTTCTCGTCCTATACCAGAAGGGTGAGAAAGCCCTGGCCCGGGGTAGCGAGCGGGGAGACCGGGCGAAAGAGGAAAAAGAGGGAGAAGAAGGGTCGCGCGGCGCGTATCGTTGCACACGCAGCACGACGACAACGGCACAGGTTGTGCGTCGTGTCCTGCGACACGTTCGTAGTGGTGGTCGTATCGACCGGCTGCTGCTACAAACCCACCCGGCCCTCTCTCTTTCCCACCTCACGGCGTCTCTTTCCCGCACTCGCTCCGCCGCACCTTTCACCCCGTTTCGGAATCTCTCTCCGTCCTTTCGTCTCCCTCCCACGCGAAATCTTTCCGCTGTGTCTGTCCCTCTCGCACGGTGTTCACCACCGAGCGACGGCTATCGGGTCCAACCCTCTTCGCTCCCCTTCCTCGTTCGTTCTCTCCCTGCGAAACCCACCCTCTCGTCGCTTCCTCTCTATCCCTCCTTCTTTCGCGGGCTTGAATGCCTCTCCGCTTTTCTACGCGTCGCTCTTCCTTCGTTTCGCGCGACGACCTCGCTCTCTCCTCTCGTTTCGTCCTCGTCGCACGGTGTTCAGCACCACGATGCGACGAAGCCATCAGCCGCGCCACCCCCGACGAACGACGTCGTCGTGGTCGTGGTCGTGGTCGTCGTCGTCACCGTCGCCGTCGTCGTCGTCGACGTCGTCGTCGTCGTCGTCGATCCCTCCCCAGACTCCGGGTCCTTGAATTCCTAGACCAAAGTACCCCAGCCGACGCGGAACCCACCCCTGCCGCCGTCGTCGGATGGGATCTCAAAGGTGAAAACTGCGCGCTGTAAAATCCACCCCCCGTACCCTCCGCGTTGTCGTCACTCTTTTGCCATCGTCGCGCTACTACCCCCTGCCTATATCTACCTCCACACCGGGTCGGTTCGACGAGCCACGCAGAATCCCAGGGGCTCTCACGCGCACCGCGATTATCCCGACCTCATCGAGACACCGTTGAAACACATGCACCGACGAAAATAATTGTCCCGACGCCGCCTACGCGTTTCTTTCTCCCGAATTTTCGCGGCAGCCAGCCGTCGAATCGCGCGTTCTCTCGGAATCACTGGCTCCGGTTTCACGCGCTAATAAAATAACGCCGCTGGTTCGTTTGCGAAACGAATATCAAAGACCTCGCGCCGCCGCCGATGGAATTCGAGAAAAATTACGTCGGATCGCTCGCACGCACGAACCAGTTTCCCACCCGCTGGCACTACACCTTTTCCCTAATCCTCGCGGTCTAATCTGTTACCGCCTACGCTTCAACGTTCCAAGCCTCTCCTCCGATCTCTTCTCGCGTTTCGTTCGGATCGAATGAACGATGGAATCCGGTTCGGAGGTAAGATAGGTGTTTCGTAATGGACGTATCCGTGAATTCTCGCGAGTAAGACCCTCGAGCTCCGAACCCACTCGAGTCGGTCCTCATCTAAGTCGTCTCATTGTGTGTAATGGGCTTTGCAGCGCGCCGGCCTAATTCGAGCACCCTCGAGAGCTACTCCGGGATACATCCGAGAAGCGCGGCCTCCGCCGAATTCGCAAAGTAAGATCCAAGTTTCTCTCGCCACCTAGGCTACGATAAACTTCCGGGTGAGCCGGATTGACCCGCTCTCCCGCTCTCGCCCCGACTGCGGGATTTAGGGACGAGAGTCAGTTCCGTCTGCGAGGAACAATGATCGTCGAGTATCAACGACTCGAGTCGTGAGACGCATCAGCGGGAAGAAAGTCCTTAGTCGGCGAGGAAAGAAATCGAAAGTGAACGCTTGCGAGAGGTCGCAGTTTTCCCGTGTACGGGGGTGCTAAGTGTCCGATATGGCCGAGGCGTGTCAACCAGTGACCTTTCGGGCACGGTTCATTGGCTGACACTGGCCCGAGAAGATTACGGGTCTGGAAGAAGAGTCGCAGGGTCAGCGTCGAATTACTATTCCCGAGGGGTATTTACGTGGAAGCGGAAACGAGACGACGGGTCCACCTCGCGCGGTGAAAACGTCCATGTATCCAGCGTGTCGTAGGATGTTCCTTACCCCGATTCTTCGATCCCCTTCTTCTTCTTCGTGGTACACGCACTCCGTACGTAGGAGCGAGCTCGTGTTGGTAACCGGTGTACGACGCGGTCCCGTGAGACGTACCGAATTTAAATTTCAAATTTGGAGCGTGTCGCTGGGTGTGACGGTATGCATAGCGTTGCTCGCCGGCCCTAACTCACTCCACCAGATCGTGCGTCTTTCTTCTCTCGTACAAGTTCCCGCTTCTTCTCTCCCACGGGTTCACCATATATCCGTCCGTCTCCCGCGTCCTCCCCATTTATCCGTCTATCCGTCTTCCTTCCTCCCTGGCGTCGGAAGGACCCGCGATCCTCGATTTTTCATATTATTCAAATGGAACCAAGTCGATATGCGACCGGGGAAAAAATTGGAAAGACGGACCGCGGTGGTTGGAAAATCGGAGACAATATCCTCGCCGAATCTGTTCGATCGCTGGGTTCCAGACGGGATGAGAAATTCCGGATGGATCCATCGAGATCGACGCTCGGTTTCCCGGGCTCATCGTAATCGTAAAATACCTGGCTCGATTTCCAATTATTCTTGCGCAAGCGGAGGCTTTCTCCCGATCGGGCCACGACGCGCTCCTCGCCTAATCGGAGACGATCGCTTACGCACACGCGTTCTCACCGACGGGGTGAAAGAAATGAGAATGCCTGGTCGGACGATAAATCAATAGCCGAGGTCGTCGAAGGAGATGGATGAGTGACGTAACGAGCCTGCTCTTACCGTACGCCTCGCGAGAGGTCGGCGTATATTCGAGGCGAGAGACGATTGAATCGCGGAGAACCTGTTGCCCGATCCGCGACCAGCGGCTACTCGAGACCCGATTAAGATTACGATTTCGCCTTCTGAAACGCGCACACCTGTGATTCTTCTTTACAGGAAGCCAGATTTCATCTTTCAGAGTACAGAGGTCGAGCTCTTCGAGCCTTTGACGGTGCAACGAGATCACGGATCGAGGCAGCCATGCCATTTACTCGAAAACCCTAATTAACGAGGTTTGGGAATATCGAATTTCCTATTATTTAATAACGCGGTAGCCTCGAAACGAAATGTAAAAGCTGACTGGAATTTGACCGGATCGATCGTGCGAGGATCGAGGATTCCCTGGATCGGGCAATGTACGGTCGTAATCCATTCGAGAATCCCTTTGAAGGGAAGAAGCGTTCGATCGGCCTCGCCGGAAATAGGTTATGGCCGATCTTATCTCTCTCCCGGTGAAATTTACGTTTCGCATATAAGTCGAGCAGACCCGTCCCCGATTCGGATCTTATCTCTCTCTTTCTCCCGGAGACGAGAACCCGTCGAAATGTACTCGCGTTGCGTGCTTCCCTGCCGTTCCTCGGCTATCGGCTCTTTCCGCGATCGCGCACGCGGTCGACGTAAATCTCTGACGATTCAATCTCTTAACCGGTAAAACGCGCCTTCCCTTAACGGCGGAAGGATCCTGTGGTAGGGAGATATTACGGTTCCACGATTCCGCGATCGATCATAGATGCGAATCAAGTTTGGCGACCGGGGCGAAAGGGTCAAAGGGAATCGAGCGATTGAGAAGCCGTGCGAGGCGAGGGGTGGACGCGTGTGCGTTCGATTATCGATGTTTGCACAAGCCCGACGCGGGAGCAGAGGTGCACGAGTTTCGGTACAGAGAGAAGGGGAGAACGGGAATCGCCAGGCGAGGAGGGAAGACCACCTACGATTCGCGCGAGTGACCAGCGAACATATACGTGTACGCAAACGGTATATACGTTTCTCGACTTTATTTCGGCTCTAAAAATGCCGGGACCGAGTCCTGACACCGAATGTCGCGGCGACTCGTCTTTTTCCCGGCCGCTGCGGCCATCGAAGCTCTTTTCTCTTTTGCAACGAACGACACCTCTCCGTGCATTTGGCTTAACGGGCCTTCCAATTTGTCAGGATCTCTCTTCTCTCCTCCGCGTTCGCCTTTCTTTTTCTCCGTCTCTTCTTTTCTTTCTTTGCCACCCTCTCGCCATTTCTTCTCTCTCCTCGTTCTCCTCTCTCCTTCCTCGTCGCCCGCGTCGTTCCTGCTCGCTCCTTCACCCCGATATATCCTATCGCACCTCGAACCGTTCACCAGGATGTCGTTGACCCATCGAACACACAGGCGTGCTCGCTCGCTCGATCGGTCGGTCGGTCGGTCCGCTGCCAAATTCGTGCATCAACGCGGCGATCGGACCGTAGAGGATGATAGAGAATCCGGTCTTAATTGTCGGCTCGTCTACGCTGCCACCGAGCTCTCTTCGAGTCGTAATGACGGGCCTCGAGATCTTTTTAATTACGCTCGCCATCGGAAATCTCTCGGTCGTATCGGCTGGCATCTCGAAATGCCGATCCACGAAAATCAAACTGCGACGCGTCGGACGTTTCCGAGGAACCGAGGTGACACCGTGGGAGGACTCACCCCGGCGTTCGAATCGAAACGAGAGAAAACGCATGAACAGGAGACGGGAACGAGTGTGGGGCAACAGGGGGGGAAGAGGAAAAAATATGAGGTGCTCGGAAACTTAACCCCGGT